CGCACGCCAGTTGGGTCTTGGCTGCCGCTTTGTGCTGCGTCGGGCTTGTCGGTGCTCGGTGGCTCCGCAGCTGCTGGTGAAGGATAGGTTCGTCGTGTTTGCACTACGTTCGTCAATCCGCCACCCTGACTCGAGGGCCTGGTCGTTGGATTTGCAAACCGCTTGAACGTTACCATCGCAGAACCCTGGTTGGGTTTGCCCTGTCGCTTGTAGCTCTCCCCCGTTGAATTATGCCGCTATGTAGGTGAACCGTTGGTAATGTGCGTGCCGCTTGCGGTGGGGTAGACGGGTCTGTGTGTCCGCCCGCCTCTGGTGTGTGGTGTTCCAGGCTCACCATAGGCAGCGTGATTGTTGCCAACAGCGCGCTGCCCTGTGACCGTCAGGATGATCTTGAGGCAGCCTCCGAATATTGGGCCACGTCGTCGCTGGATGCAACATCCGTTGCTGCATCGCTGGGGTATGGTACGATCTGGGTGGGCTCGTTGCGGTCGATGGTGGCCCTCCTTGTCCTCCTTACGCTGGAGCCACGCGTTGGTGGTTCTGCATGTCTGCGTGCTAGTGGTAGGGAAGCGCCCCTGCTGGGAGTGCCGATGAAGATCCTGCGCAGTGATCGGGCCTAGGGGGACATCTCCTCTGTAGTGCGATGGGGTGTCGATCAACACGACGCTCGGGTTGTCCTGCATGTTGTGGTTTGTAAGTCAGTCTGGCTGCCCTGCCGTTATCGGTCCAGGCGTCCATGCGTTTGGCGTCGGTGTTAAAGGCGTGTTGCACTCTTTACTTCCTAGCGGGAGCTCGTATCTGCGTCGTGTGTCGCGGTCGGACTGCGACGCACCCTTGTCAGAGTGGATGGGTGAAATTGATGTTGGTCGTCTTGCATTAGATGTGATGCGCTTGCTCCCCATGCGTCGTTCGCTCGCGCTGCTTGGTCGATTGGAGATTGCGTGGGTTGGGACAGCCCCTGCAGGGTACATTGTGTAGCCATGGGTGCAATTGATTGCAGGAATCCGTTGATCTCCTCCTCGTCGCTGTCGATCGCGGTGGTCGGGGCCGTCCCGATGGCGTCCGCCATCTCCACGCTGTCTAGACGCTGTGGTGCTTGAGCCGCTTCCTGTCGCGCGCAGAGGCACATCCTTGGGTCGCCTCCTCGGTGCGCCTCTCGCGTATGGTGCTTTCATTCTCTCCAACTGGCTTTTTGCTGTGCTGGTCTGCCTGGGCCCCGTGCTGCTGGGCTTCTGTCTTCTCCGCCGTGCCCGTCCTCGCTCGCTGCGGTACCGGCTGTGGTTGGCCGTCCGCCTGAGCCGCATGCTGTTGCGCCAGCTCCTGGTATCTGCTCGTGTCCATACGTACACCTTGTTCACGTCTAGGTATTCGAAAGTTCTTTGAATTGTTTGGGGGGCCAGGATCCTTTCATTTCTAATTGTTCTATCCTGGGCCTCTTCCTGGCCACTAGGGAGCCAGGAACATATGGAAACGAGCACAATTAGAAATGAGCACGATTAGAAATGAACGGCGTGCACACTTCGGAAATGATGTTCGTGTTGTTGGGCTTGGTCTGCGCGTCTGTCTCGTGCGATCCTTTCGGTGTCCGTGACTCTCTGTTAGTGCTCCTCCTCGACCCTCTGGATGTTGACATCCGTGCGCCTCTCTTGGTGCTGCGTCTCGAGGTTGGCGATGCGGAGCCGGTTGTCGGACTGCCGCCAGTGATTGCGCAGCTGGACTTGCTCGTTGAAACCGTCGATCCTGCGCCTCGATGACAAAGATCAGTTGTTCTGCGTCTTGCATCTTGTTCTGTTACGCATCCCTTCCTGCCGCTGCCTGTTCCATGAGTTGTAGCTGCTGTTGGAGGTTCTTGTGGTCGTTGTCGTGCTCGGCGAGTCTTGGCTGAGCCTGTCTCAGCTCGTTCTGTTTGGCGGTTGCGTGTTCATGCCTGTCTCGAGGGAGGTCGTCCTTCCCGCTGTGGCTGTTGCTCCTCATGTTGGCTTCGAGCTCCTCCTCCATCCTCTGTGGTGCGGCCGCCGCTTTGGTCTGGATGTACGTGTTGGGTGCCGCCATCTTATCGGTTGTGATCGTGGCCTTCGTCAGCTCCTTCTTCAGCTCGTTCTGATAGAACTGTGCTTGGTTGGCTGCATGAAGTTGCTTCTTCGATTCCTCTTGTGCGGCCTCTTCAGCTGCTCGAAGGTGTCGTCTTAGCTCTTGTAGTTCCGTCGCGGAATTATTCCTGGCTGTCTCGTTGTACTTGTTATTTTGATAGAGGCTGTCGAAATCATCCCTGATATCGCTTTTGTTTGTGTTTTTATTACATATTGAGCGAGGCGTTGGTTGTCCTTCTTCAGTGCCTCGAGTAGCGCTTCGACATCTTGACCCTCACTTGTGGCCCTGGTGTTCCGTCTTTGTGTTGATGTGGGGTTTCTGATCTGGCCGCCGTCTGTCTGTGGGACGTCTGCCTCGTCGTCTGCTGCACCAACCTCGTTGTACGCGTCGCCCCGCGCGAAGCTGATGTCCCTGTGGATGATGTGGAGCTCGTTGGCATTTCTCTCCAATGTGGCCAGGTCTGTTTCCACTTCTTTGTGTTGCGCCTTGGTGTGCTCGTAAGGTTCCTCCATTGTCTGCTTGTTGCGGTCGATCTCGGTGGCCTGCTGGGGATGTGGCATGGTGTTGATGACCATCGCTTTGATCAAGGCGATCGTTGCGCCTGCGTGTGTTGTAGGCCAGCGGAGCTGGCCTTCATGATGCAAGCTGCTGCCCGTCGTTGTTCAACTGACCTGATGTTCTTCCACTCAACTTTGAGTTTTGGGTCGTTGGGTGGTGATTCCCAATCGCGCCTTCTGGTGGCGTAGACCTTTCGCATGGACATGGCGTTGTTGATGATACTGTTGAGGTGGTCGGTGAAGTCCTGGCTGGACTACCTCTACATCTTCTTGGCCACGGTGTCCTCTTCTTGCGTGGGCTAATACACCCCCTGGCCCTTCTTCTCCTTGCTCTTGCCATGCTGCGGCTGCTCTGGCGTCCTCGATGCGGTCGTCTTACGGCTTGGGGAAGCTGCCCCTGCCCCTGCCGTTGGTGCCCTTGGTCTTCTTGCCGGCGCCCGCCTCCTCCCTCCCCCCTCCTCCCTCCTCCGTCATCCTCCTCCTCCTCCCGCTCCTCCTCCTCCTCCCCCTCCTCCTGTCGGGGTGTTGGGTCTTCCCTCCACGCAGTGGCCGGCGCCGCTCGCGGGCTCAGCAGCTGGGCGCGCTCGTGGCCTTCTGCTTGGCGTGCGGCTCGAGGCTGGTCTCCATGGCGGCGACGTGCTCCACGGCCTGATCGCGGTTGATCCCCGTGTATCCGCCATTGCAGGAGTTTGTGTCGTGTGGCTGCCACCGTACTTTCAGGACCACATCCCAGAGATCATTTCGAGCACCCCGGACAGCATCGCAACGGTGTCGAGCGAGTATCGCCTCCCAGGCCCCGACACATGAATATCCACCAGCTTCGGTACTTCTGGGGTGCTCGAACTTATTTCTGGAGGTCAAGGCTAAAGTAGGTTGGATTATCATGAAGCTTGTGGTGGATGTCGCGGTGGTTGTTGTGCATTGCGGTGTGATTCAAAAAGTTGTCGGGTTGAGTCGAGTTGCTTCACTGAGCATTCGGTTGAGTAGGTTGCGTGCTTATGCTACCCGTAGCAGTGTGCCTGCTGCTGCTCGTCGTTCGCGGTCACGCCTGTGAGATGCTTCCAACTTGTCGTGGTGGCTGTCGTCGCCATGCCGAAATGGCCCAGTGCGCGTTCTGCCGCCACCTGGTAAAGGGAGGAAGCGGATATAAAAAACATAGATAAATGGGAATGCTATTGGAAGAGATGTGCTGTAGGCGATCGCGGCCGTGTTCTCGGCGCACTTGGCCTTCGACGCGCCTCAACCTCTTGGGCGGTCGCGGCTCTCCTTCTCCTCCTCCTCCTCCTCCTCCTCCTCTCCTCCTCCTCCTCCTCCTCCTCCTCCTCCTCCTCCTCCTCCTCCTCAGCCTAGCAGAGCACCTCAAATTTCTAGAATCCCGCCGTAGTTGGTAGAGCGAAGACAACTCGGGGCTCCCAGGGGGGGGCTCGCCTTGTATTGTGGAACTCGACGCGCACTGCAGGTCGTACATCGAATCATTTGCTGTGTTTAGTTGTGGTTGATCTCCTTTCGACAAGAAGCCCGATGCAGCAACCGACCGACCTCCTCCTCCTCCTCCTCCTCCTCCTCCTCCTCCTCCTTCTCTCATTGCCCTCCTCTACATCCTCCTCCTCCTCCTCCTCCTTCTCCTCCTCCTCCTCCTCCTCCTCCTCCCCGTTGGCCCACCTCCCCGTTGGGCCCCTTCTCTGCGCCCGCTCCCTGCCTTAGCATGAACGACTTGGTGGTTACTGCGATGGTTGATACAGTCAACCAGCATCGTAAGGAGTCGCGACCTTCCAAGGTGATCCTTGCATCCATCCAGGGGATCTTCACACGGTGCCGCCCTTGCCCCTCTTCCTTCTCTTCCTCCTCCTCCTCTGCGCGATGTGTGAGCTTCCCGTGAGAGGGGATTTGAGGTGCACGCCCTGGGACTGGAGGCATACAGACAGCGAGACATGCTTTGCGTTGGGGGGGGAACAACTTCGGCCCATCCTTGGCCACTTTCGCTGGCCGCGCCCCGCTTGCAAAGTGTCGGCATGGCCTTCCGAGGCCCCTGCATCCTTAGCATGCGTCCTTATCATACGGGTTGACTGTGCTCGCGTCTGCTTCCGCCACTGCAAGTTCGAAGTGCCGAGGCAGGCCTGACCACGCTTCACGCCAGACCCCCCGTCCCGCTAACCACCACCCGGGATTACGAATTGGTGGTCAGGGACTTCGGCTTTTTAGTTTGAGGATCCAGACCGTTTGTGCAAACTGGCTCAGACACCGACGCCCCAACCACCATTTCGGATATTCGAACTGTCCTCCTCCGCCGCCGAGGCGCCGCGCGACACCTCGCCGCCGCCCTTCTTCTACGACGCCGACGCCGCGGACCCGGTGGACGTGGAGCTGCTGCGCGAGCTGGTGGCGCTGAACCGCGCCGTGCAGGCGGCCCACGCCCCTGTCGAGTGGCAGGGCCGCTTGCGATTCGATTCGCCGGCTGGGGCCTCCTCCTCGCGTGGTTGGGATGCGGGCCCCTTCGAGTCGAGACCAAAATCACGACGCAATGTTCGTGTCTCTTTCTCTCGGCCTCTGGGGGCCCTGGCCAGGCCCCGGGACCGTCAGACAATGACTCGAGAGGCTCTGTCACTCGGTGCTGCGGTGCAGTGTGAGGTGGTCGATCGCCGCGCGGGGTGCAAGCACAGCAGCGAATGCCAGACGTTCAGTCATGTTCGTAGCTCCTTCGTCTTCGAACAACAGCTTGTCCCAGGGACCCAGAGATCCGATGTCGTGATTGTTTCAACGCGCGGTCTGCGGAAGTCTCGACCCATTCCACAGAACCGGTTTGTCACCCTGAACCGTTGTTTGACGGTCCTGGGGTCCGACGAGGGCCCCCAGAGGCCGGAAAATTAATACAAACCTCCGCCTTGAGCTTTCAACGCGCTGGATACCTGGGGAGCGGGTCGAGATTTGCGGGGGCCTCGCAGGGAGAAAACCAGGACCTCAACGCTCTTGGGACGGGGGCCGAGGGCTCATGGCGCCAACATCGCAGAGCGGATTTCGTTCAGAAAACAATAGGATGGGCCCGGGGTGTCCAAGAGAATTTCGTTCCAGATTTCGAAGTGATTTCCGTACGGATTTCTGGTTGGCCAGGAACGAAGACAAGAACCACGCGAAACCGTTTTTTTTCGGGGTCCTGCGTTGTGGCAAAGCAAGAAAATCCACTGCAGCACGCCTGCAAGGTCGGTGCAGTGACGAGGGCCCCGACGCGGGAGAGGCCGAGGCTCGCAGCCCCCTGAGATCTGGGCGCCGCGGATGTTTTTGTTCGCGCCGGGCGTGCTCGCCCGGTGTTTCGGGCCCCGGGAGCATCACGCGGGGGCGACCGAAAGTCGGGGGAGCGTAAGACCCGGGTTTGCCGGGACTCGGGTTCGCCATCGTTTTTTGACGACCGCGCCTCGGATTTTGACGAGGAGGAGTTTCTTGGGATGTCTGCAGCGGGAGGCCTCGTCAAAATGCAGGCTCGGCCTCGTCATTTTTTTGACGACCTCGTCGGGGATTTCCGAGTCCCACGTGCCCGGGTCTTACGTCTCCCCGACCCGGGAGCATCACGCGGGGGCGACCGAAAGGGGGGTGGCGGCTAGGGTTCAGGCGGGCCTGTCCCTCTACAGGAAGAACATTCAAGACCAGTCAGAAACATCGTCTGGGAACTGTTTTTTGAGATTTTGTTTTAGCTACTTTTGTGTATCGTCGGCAAGGCTTCACTTGTCGCCCCAAATTCGCCTGTCGGGGGACACGCCCAACCTGAGACTAGAGCTGGGGGGATATCATGGCGGGGGCCATGGTATCTCCCCAGATTTCATGGTGCCCCTTCTCATTCCAGTGCGTCCCCGGCACACGCACACACACACACACACACACACACACACCCTGGGCCGCCCGCAGGACTCAGGCCATGATCTGCGCACCCCCCTCTTTGGCGCCCCCCTCTTGGACGCCCCGTATTACATACCGATGCGGCTCGACAAACGCCGCAGAAGCATGATGTCGAGGGCTTGGGTCGTGACTCGTCGCGATGCTGAGCATTCGCAACGTCTGATCTCGGGGCTCCCAGACTCATGGCGCCTCGGAACAGTCCCGGCTTGATCCACCCGCATCGACTAGGGCCAGCCCGAGCCCGGTCGCGGTCGATGCGATTCCGAGTTCATTGGCCGTTGGCGGCCCAATCAGTCTTCGACCGGGTCCGATGCAGCGGTTCGAGCCAACTCGGGCCTGCACGGCAGGGGCGGGGGCCGAAGGCCGAACATCGGGGGGCCGATCCGCTTCGATTCGGTGGCTCGATCTGGTGCAGGCGTGCGCGGCAGGGGCGGGGGCCGAGAATCGGGGGGTCCAATCCAGGAGGAGGAGGAGGAGGAGGAGGAAGATGTGGGGACAAGGACAGGACATTCGCATGATGGGGGGGTACAACGTCAGAGCACCTACTCAGGTAACCTACGCGATACTGTCAAAATCCCTTGCGATTTGTTGTGCTACAGCCCTGCCTTCTCACTAGGGCCGGCAGGGGGCATACCACGTAGCTCAAGGACCGCGCTCCGCGGTGGCCCCGTAAGAGAGGCTCGCTACCTCACATCACGAGTCCTTTCGGGTCAGTGCGGGGGGAGCGGCTGCTGGCCCTTCCGCGTGCCCTAGGGGAGGGGACGCGCGGGCTTAGCAGGGCACCCAAGCCAGGGGGGGGAAGAGACGACGACACGACCTCAAAAGGAGGAGAGGGGGGAGAGACGGAAGGCCCGAGACCCCAAACTGTTGCTGGGGGGGGGCTACTTATTCTACAGCTTGACTTCCGTGCTCCCCTCTCCCGCTCGGCTCACTTCTCGGTCGTTCCGAGAGATTTCCCATGTATTGTCACATCTGTACTTTGGTACCCTGTCGAAGCAACCCATCGTCCCCCCTCGAACTGTATGCGAGGTAGAGCATACTGGAACACACGGTATGAGGTATGGTCAATGAGGAGCACACTGGCGGGCTTCTTGATGATCATTTGTTCCCTTTGACGCCCTGCAGTAGTGTACCTGACGGTACTCCAAAACATACTTCCCATTGCGATGGCGTTGCAGGCGTTCTGTTGCGTCCATCTTGCTTGTCGTGAGTTGCACTCCGAGAGTACTCGCTAATGCTTCTCCTGACTGTCTGCGGGCACGGCCAGCTCGCAGCTTGCCCAGAGTAGCACTCCAATAAACCTCGCTAGTGCTTCCTCTTGGCATATCAGCAGGCACCAGTGGGTGCGCTCACTGGCGGTAGCTGGATGAGCTGACCGTCGTCGTCTCCTCCGACCTGAGGTAGCCGAACTTCTCCGCGAAGATTTCGTTGCCATCCAGCATGGTCTTTGTGCTGTCTCTTAGCTTTTGGCGCGACTTCAGTCTCTTCACTTTTTCTGGGTCCATGTTGTCTTCGTTGTTCAGCTCCTTAATGGCAACCTTCATTTCTTTGTGGCGGTTCTCTTCGTCTTTCTTCGCTATCGTCAGCGGCAGCTCGCACCAGCTCTGCAAAGTGAAGGCCTTCCTCCCTGCCCTCTCCCACTTGGCCCACTGGGATCAACTCGAATGGCCCCTCTGGGCTCATCTTCTGGGCCCTGTCGAAGAACTGGTAATGGCAATCCTTGATGGCGTCGTCAAGTTGCTGCGGAAACCTTTCCGCAATGAACGCCTGCCATGTGGTTCCCACCTTGGGCTCCACCGCCATCTATGGCCAACTCCTGAAGGGGAGGAACTGGCACCCGCACCCGATATTTGGCCATCCTTTGCTGCCTGCCCTTAACGTTTTCTTCACCTTGTCCACATTCCTTGAAGAGCACGTCCTCTGGGTAATTCCCCTGCGCCTTCACAAGCTGCAACCAGTCCACCTTGCACCAGGGCTGCCACTTGCCACCTCTCGAGTTAGGACTAGGGCCTCTCCACCACAGCTTGTTCGGGAAGGCCAGCCCGCACGAGCAGGCTCCTCCCCTTTGTTCCGTCCCGCCGCGAGGATCCTCCGCACGCTCGGCACCACTGGCCCTGGCGAGCCCTGCCCTGCGAGGGGCAACGAGATGTTCCAGGCCTACGCCTGGTCTTGCGGCCTGTGGGCGGGTCGCTGGATCGAGCGCGCCTTGCGCGAGATCCGAGGCGAGAGCCGCCAAGTGCCCGTGAGCATCAGCACGACGCGAGCCCGAAGCAACGAGCGGATCAACAAGTCCAAGGAGGCCAGCGACAACGACTCGGCCGAGGCAAAGGTCAAGGCCAAGAGCAAGGCCAAGTCCAAGCCCTTCAACGACCTCGCGGCGGTCGGGCCGATGCACGCCACCTGCGAGGAGGCAAACGCTGCCGCCCAGGCTTGCACCAAGTGCCTCCCGTGCACGGATGGCTCCAAAAGGGTGCCGAAGCTGCCTGGGCGAGTGGTTCGCGGTCGTGCGCAAGCGAAGTTTTATTGAGCGCCAAGGACCTCTCTTGCGTAGGCAAGTCGTAGCCGCGAGCCTCGAGATCTCTCGAGTCAGTCTTGTGCCAAGATCTGCAAGGTCAGTCTACACGAGCGCCCAGGATTATCATCGTCATTTTTCTCCTCATCATCAATACAACATCACCTTCGCTGGGGAAATCGTTGGTTATCCCCGCCATCCCCCTGAATTTTATTATCCCCTGGGGATTATTATCGGGAGCAGCCGGTTGCTTTCACATACCTCTGCATCGATAGTGCCCCATGCATGGGGCCCTTGGAACGCGCAGCACAGCGCACCACGGACAGGTATCGACAAGCGAATTGCCAACGACATGCGGAACGAGATCGGCGCGCAATTTGCCCGCGCCTTCATCCCGTGCGCTCCTGGTCAGACTCACTTTCGTAGGGCAGCTAATGCAGGCGTGGCTCTACGTTGCCGTGACATCGTGCTGGGGTGGCTCTACTCTCACCCGGGCATGGATGATTCTTTGTTGTCAGAGGACTCCGACAATCCCGCTGGTCGCACGTACGCCATTGCATTGTGCACCAACGTCCACCTCCTTGGCAACGCACCCATCCTGGAATTCAGGAGCGTAGAGTGTTTGACCAAGACAAGAACAACACAGAAACACAGGACGTATACAACGAAATTGACGACTGCTTGTGGGACGCATGGCGCCACACCCCACCACGCCTGAAACAAGCAGGTGCCAGCGACAAGCTACTTCTTCCTCATGGTGGTACAACGACGAGTTCGCGCGGGGTGATGCCAGCCAGGATAACAAAAAAACGCTGTTGCCCGCAAATCCGTGTACGGATGCATCGGGGCTCACCAGCGGCGTTGGTGGGCAATGACATTTAAATTGTTAGATGAAGTCATGCCACACATGATGATCGACCTCATTCTGTTTCTGGGTGTTCATGACCTTATTACCGCAGTACGACCGTGATCGGCCCTGGCACCGCCCCCCATCGGGGTGCACGCGAGAATCCCAGCACCTTTTCTAATTTCATTACCTCACAAATTGCGGCGCGAGGAACAACGACCATACCAGCAGGCGCGCGGATCGACAAAATGGGAGCGAGGCACACGCCGGCACGTCGAGACAAGGATCCACGACTTCGCGTAGTTGAGTGTACTTGCTTTGCCGCGCTTGCACTCAAACTGTTGGCGAATGCGATTGCGTACTCATCCAAGAAACCTTCGGTAGGACCCGTCAGTGACACATTCGATTGGACGAATGCTTCGAGATTTTTCCGATCCTACCAGTCCCAGATGGGCCAGTTCCCCTTTCAAATCCCGGGAAGCGGGAGTTGCCGACGCTACCGCACAACAGAAAGACTATGAGTTCTGCATCGTGACTTGATTGAATGCAGGTTACAATGGAGTAACTCACGTTCCTTTCCTGTCCGCTTACTGGAGGGTGCTCCTGCGAGCGCTTGGTGGGCTGCAGCGACCGTTGCCCCACTCTACCATATCCCCGTCCGAAGATGTCATTTTCTGCTGGCACAGATGCACAAGCCCAGAGCGTCTACTTCACCGTCGACACCTCTTCCAGCAGCAACAGCGGCCGCACTCCCACAACCGCGCCTCCCACTTGCCAACTTCGAATACAGTGACGATGGGGGCGCCAGATACGCACAGGCACCTCCTGGCGGAACCAATCCTACACATAATCTTCAGTCTGCAGTCGCCGTCCAGGAAACCAAGCGCATGGAAGCGTGCGGCAAGACGTCTGATCAGGAATTACCAACAGATCTCCAAGAACATGGACACGAAGGCGAGGCGTCTCTCTCATGCCCTCGACCATGCCATCCCTTGCGTTTCGCTCCGGGCGTCTCGCGGGTCGGGTTTCGGAAAGGGGGATGTTACCGAACTCGTGACGCTGCCCCTTTTTTTCCGTTTCGCAGGTGTTGGCAATCAAATATTAATTCTTCGACAGAGAACAGGGCAAAACCATCATCTTCGCCCATCATTAATTATTACGCGGCGCCGCATCGCACCTGTAGGACTCGCCGTTGGGGATTTCGAGGCCGGAGGGGCCGCAATGGAGATTTTTGCGCCGTTCTTCCCTTCCCCCCTCCCTCCTGTGTCCTCTCCTTTCCCCTTTTCCACGTTCCTTTTCCTCGTCCTCCGTCTGACCTCCTTGTTGCGCACAGTTTTTCCGCGCAGCCTGCAGCCGATCCCCTGAGTCGCGCTGCCGTGCTGGCGGCAGCCACTCATCGCCGCAGGGGCGCACCGTTACGTCACATGATGTGGAGGAGCGGGGAGACGAGGAGGAGGAGAGCGACGAGGACGAAAAGAAACATCATGAGGACGAGGAGGAGGGAGAGGGGGAGTAGGAGGAGGAGGAGGAGGAGGAGGAGGAGGAGAGGAAGGGATGATAACGAGGAAGCGGATTCGGATGAGGAGGAGTTCAAGAAGGAGGAGGAGGATGAGGAGGAGGAGCAGGAGGAAGGGGAAGAGGATGAGGAGTAGGAGGGAGAGGGTCTGGAAACGAACCAGGAAGAACATCAAGACAAGGATGACGAGGAGGGGGATGATGAGGAGGGGGGATGAATGGGGAAGGGAAGGAAGAAGTGAATGCGGAATAAGAAGGAGACGATGACGAGAAGGGTGATCAGGTAAGAGGAATGAGGACCAGGATCCACAGACGATGACGATGATCAAGGTGATAACGGCGATGATGGTGGTGATGTTGATGATGATGATGATGATGACAAAGTTGTTATGACGATGATGATGGGGGTGAGGGTGAGGATGGGGATGATGAGGATGATACTGTTGATGGTGCTGATGACGGCAATGTTGATGATGAGGTGGAGGAGCGGAGATATAATGTTGATGATGGTGTTCAGTACGAGGGCGATGATGATGGCGTGGGTAAGCATGAGGAGAAGGAGGATGTGATCGTGACGATGATGTTGATGATGATACTGGTGATGGTGTTGTTGATGTTGATGACGATTATTATGATGATGGTGGTGATGGTGGTGATGATGATGATGGTGATGATGGTAATGATGGTGATGGTAATGATAGTGATGGTGATGGTGATGGTGATGGTGCTGGGTGTCATGATGAAGTTGATGATGATGATGATGATGATCTTGTTGATTGCAGTGGAAATGACTAAGCATGAGATGATCGGATGAAAGGAAGATCGGGAGGAAGAGGATAATGAGATGGGCGTACGGGAAGTTGTGAAGGATTATATGGACGGGGAGCATGTTTCCAGAGGGGCCCGGCGAGGAAGGAGAAGAGATAGAGACGTAACCGCATCAAACAGAAAAAATGCCTGCCAGCTGGTGCCCCAAGGAAATCTTTTATCCCCCAATGGCCCCAGGGAGTGCTTTAAGACACCCCAGGGCTCTCAACGATTAACGAAAGATGTTGCCCGAGAATTCCCAATAAACAACTACATTTTTTATCGTACGCGTCTACTGTAGGACGACAAGGACGAAGACAACGACGACGACGACGACGACCCTCCGGCCAGGCGCGGCTCAACGTGAGGCGTGTGGCGCCCGGCCGGTGCCGCCCGCATCCCCGCCGCTGGCCAGCCTCTCCTGGGGGAGGGGAGGGGCAGGATGACGTGGAGGAGGAGTGAGGAGTGCGGAGGAGCGGAGAGCAACGAGAGAGGGCGAGGGCTGAGGAGGGCGGAGAAAAGAGGGAGAGGAGAGGAGGAGGAGGACGAGGAGGAGGAGGAGGAGGAGGAGAAGGAGGGGAAGAAGGAGGAGTGAGGAGGAGCGAGGAGGAGAGAGGGCGACGATTCCTCTCCGCAACCATTTTGGCTCAAGGCTAAACGTTGTGAAGGGCTATAAACGCCGGAGAATCAGCGATTAGCTTTGGACCCGTCCCCGCAGGCTGGTTCAAGCCTTCCCGTGGTCGCAGCCGACCACGACGTGCATCGCACGTCTGCTTTTGGGCCTCTTCGTCAGCGCTCTCGTCGGCACTGCGCAGCTCGCGCTGCACCAGGCGCCATGGCGATGGCCGCTGCTGGCGCCGCTGCTTCGCCTGGGGGCCACAAGCGCGGTGGGAGGCAGCTGGGAAGCAACAGCTCTGACGAGGCTCCGCCCAAGCAGGTCATGCGCTTCGAACGACCCGAGGGCGAGGATGGAGATGGGGATCTCGATCTCGCTGCTGCTGAAGGATACGCTGCTGCTGCCGCCGCTGGAGCTCTTCTGGGAGAGGACCTCTGCCCCACCCTGCCTGGGGCTTTGTCTCCTGCCAGCCCAGGCACTCCGACAGGACGGGGGACTGGTGACTGTGCTGGCACTGGCGGCGCCACCCCTGGGCCAAGGCTTACGCCTGCAGTCTCCTCGGCGTCAGACGGGCACACTGGTTCGACTGCTCGGGCCAGCACTGATGAACTACCTGGACGTCCACGTGTACAACAGGCGGCGGCTGCTGGCGGTGACGTCGTGGAGCTCGAGCTGCGTGCGTACGTGGACAAGACAAGCATGGACGTCATGGGCTCGATCCAGGCTATGCAGGCCTCGCTCACGGCTCTCTCGTCGACGATGGGTGAGCACTGTGCAAGCATCGACAAAGCAGTGGAGAAGAGGATGGTCAAGGTGGAGACGGAGGTGCGGATGCACGACAGCCGCATCGGCAAGCTGGAGAAGGAGGTTGAGGAGCTGCGGAACTTGCTCGGGCTCATGCGCCGTGAGGAGCCGCCCCCTCGTATCGAAGGTGGAGGCTTTGATCGCCCTGTCGATCACACCATCATCGTGGTCGGGACGCAGGTGCCGTTGCCCAAGCAGGTGGTCGGCAACGCGTTGCAGCCGTGGATCGATGACTCGAACTTGCAGGCTGATGAGTACGACCTACAGGGAGATGCGGCTTCGAAAAGGTTTCAGATTCAGGTACGTGGTCAAGCTGGTTATGCGGCGCGCAAGGTCGACCAGGCCATCGGTGCGCTCAAACGTCCAGGACGTGGTTGAGGCTGGCGTGAGTTTACTGCTGTCCCGCCGACTGGCGGCCCCGCTACTCGCATCAACGTCGGCCCCGACAAGAGCCCGAAGATGGTGGCAAGGGAACTTGGCTGCAAGAAGGTGGCGAGGAAGCTGCTGGACTTTTACCCCGCGAAGCGCTTCTTTGCGGACAAGGAGAAGGGAGTTGTCAGCTCGTCGTGGAAGGACATCGTGCAGTTCTCTCCTGCTCCAGCGGGCTCGGCGCCTACGATTCACTACAGCGACAAGAACATGGACGAGCTGGACTTGGACGCGGCGCTGGTCAGGCGCTCTGTTCACAGCATCTTCGAGGATCAGAAGGATACCGAGTGGTGTCTTTAGCCGGCTGTACAAGGCCTGGCAGGCCGGCCCTCCGAGCTGACTTACGATCAAAATTACTACGTGGAACGCCAGGGCGCTGTTACATCACGACCTGCCGCTTCGCAGTAAGAAGATTCGGTACCTTGGGCCTCTTCTGGCGTCGAATGCGATCCTCGGGCTCCAGGAATGCCACGGGGCTCTGGCCGAAGCGGAGGAAGAGTTGTACCAGCTCCATAAGCCTGTCAATATGTTTCACTCTTTTTTTTGACGATCCAGAGCGCACGAATGTAGGAGGCCCCCTTTGCATTCTTTCCTGTCTTGGGTGCGCGCTCGAGGTTCGAGGTGAGGGACGATTTTGCTCCTGGGAGGTTCTGAACGTCAAAGTGATTCTGGACGAGTCTGGGGACTGTTGGATATCGCATTGGAATGTTCACAATTTTGGTATGTCTCGGGAGGTTCGTCTCAGGGTAGCTCGAGAAATTGAACGCGATTTTGACCGAGCTCGCGCAGCTCCCGAATGCGCTCTGGTTATCTTGGCTGGAGACTTTAACATGAGCGAGGCCCCCCGATGCCGTCGGCGCCGACGGAGTCCTCCCAGCCGCATTTTGGCTACCACGAGTGGCGCGCGGGCTGGGGCAAGATCCGGCAGGGGCTTTTTTCGAAAACGGCTGAGATTCAGCAAGATGATCCGACTCATTACTGTCTAGCCAACGACTCTACGAATATCATCGACCGCATCTTCGCGTTGGTTCCAGGGTGGGGCCTTATTCAGATGAATGATCTGGGGGTGACTAAGGACCAGGTCGAAGTATTACACCACCTAGAACTATCAGAACATACCCCCGTCTCCGTGGACCTCAAGGGAGCCCCGAAGGTCTTGCCTCAGGATCGCCCCACCCCCAAGGAGCTCTTTACTACTAGTTACTTCCAGGACTTCATGCGTGCGTATCTGGAGGCTGTGTCTTGGGACGAGCTTTCTCCGCCGCTGAAGATAGATCTGCGCAAATACCTTATGGCGGAAGGTGCCAAGTTTGCTAGGAATGCCACGTTGCGCTTTGAAGGTCAAGGCCGACCGGGGCGCATTATATTATATCGATCGGTTGCGGAGGCCGTCTGGCGGCAAGATAGGAAGGTTGGCACCGTCCTTCTCCAGGCGCATGTGGCGGCCCGCAGTCTCTTGCAGGTTGATGCCGACACTGGTGTGCCCCCTCTGTGCGACCCTGAGCGCTTCGCCAGGGACTTAGATCAGTTGCAGACTAACGATCTCGAGGCCCAGCGAACGAAGATATCCAACTCGATGGACGACGACGCGCCTGACAAGCTTCGACGAAAGCGACGACAACATATGAAACGACTACAGAAACGAGCATCGACCTGGGCCCCGTTCGATCGTCGATTGACGCTCAAGGGTACCAGGCTCCCGTCGAACGAGATTGCGACGCAGCCTGAGGAGATGTCTCGCGAGATCTGCGGTTACTGGGGCACCGTTTTCAGCGAGAAGAAAAGCATTGCGAAGTCTGGGGGAAAGTTCTTGGGGAAGTTCGGGGGCCAGAAGGATTTCTCTGATATTCCCCCTCCAACGCTATCTGGGATGAGGGCTCGGATGCAAAAACTTGAAGACTGTGTCCCTGGTCCAGACCGTCTTCCTTGCGCTGCCTAGAGGCACGGCCCGATGGCGGCTGCGCTTTTAGATGGACATCTAGGGTGGATGCTGGAGGGGACCTCACCGATGTCGCCCTTCAAGGCTGCGCTGGGGATTTTCATTCCTAAAGGGGAGGAGGAGGGAGATCAGGGAGGAGCAGCACGTGATGTGCAGTCTCTTCGGCCCCATCGGCCTGACGAACTCCGAGGGTAAGATTCTTGCGGGCGCGGTCACCCGGCCTTTCGCTGTCAAGATGGCCGAAGTCAGTTGTCCGCTCCAGCGCGGCCTCACGATAGGACGGCAATTTGGAGCGAACATAGTAGAACTGGACACCTACGCCGGGATCGCGTCCATGCCCCCCTCGGCCGACACCGATCTCCCAGCCATCTTTTCCTGCGACTTCTCCCAGGCCTTCCCCTCCGTCTCCCACGAGTGGCTCCAGATGGTCCTCGAACGTCTTTCTCTTCCCCCACCTCGCCTCTGGTTCTTCAGCATTCTCTACTCGAACGTCCAGTGCTACGGTGTTCTTGGTGGTCAGATGCTCTGGCTTTTCTCGATGTGGTCAGGTGTAATTCAGGGCTGCCCTGCCAGCGGGGCCTTGTCTGCAGCAGCGCTGAACCCGTTCCTGTTGGACTTTAAGGCTGAGTTTGCCGACAAGCACCGAGGAGTGATGCTTGCGTGCGCAGATGACCTGGGGGCCGTTATCCTGAAGATGAAATTCCCTACTGTTCTGTATCGGATATTCCGTATGGCCCAGCTGCTGGCCGCATTGGTGCTTAAGGTATGTAAGTGCTATATCCCTCCTCTTGCAGGTGAATTTACTCTTGAACTTGCCGCTCGATATGCTGCTGCTGTGGCTTCTCTGGTCCCATCCTGGGCTGCGTTCGTTATCGTTCCGAACTTGAAATACCTGGGGATGTGGGTGGGCCCAAAATCGCGCCGTAAATCCTGGGCAGCCCCGAGGAACAAGTACTGCCACCGCAGCAACGTGCTTTCAGGTGCCAAGGCCCCCACGGCTGTCTCGGCCAACCTGTACTCTGCGAGGTGCGCCACGACGTTATCGCACGTGGCCCAGTACTGCCCGCCGCCCCCCAGAGCTGCTGGCACAGGGGACGTCGACGTTGGCACGAGTATTTCATGTCCTTCATTGTGCTTTGAGCAGGGCAGGGTGGTTCTCGATGAACAAGTGGGGAGGTCCCAAAATCCCGTCGGTCACAGTCGCCTCCTATGCTGCGAATGCTCGGGCTGCCCTTTCCACGTTCGATGGGGCCTGGCAGAAGATGTATAGGATGCTGCTGGAGAGGGCCTACCTGGCCATCCCGATGACCGAGATCTGCCGAGGACGGTTATGGCCTAGCTTTTGGGAGGATCCTGCTTACTGTCAGTTTCTTCGGACGGCGTCTCTTGGGTATCCTGCTGGTAAGCGACGCGCTCGGATGGCCCCAGGTTTTCAGCAACTTCGAGGACTCTTTTCTGAACAAAGGCGTGAGGCCCGCGAGGTCCGTAGGGGCAAACGAATTCGGATCCAGCGCTCCCTAACCGACGCTTTCACTCTTTCTATGTTCCCTGGAGAGGCCCTGAGATCCCTTTTCCTGCGTAGACTCCACGATTGATTT